ACCAGTCGAGCGGGTTGCGCGGGGAGATTAAAGATTGACTAACATCGCTTGACGGCCAGGTGAAGCTGGGGTGAAGGGGGGGGTAGGCCGCACGCATAAGGCTAGCAGGTGGATTCTAGAGCCGTTCTGGTGTCTCGGTAGGGAAGGCTTGGTGTGGTTCCGGTAGTCGAGGGACCGTAGCGTCGGCAGAGTTGCCGGGGATGGAGCGCCTGGGTGTCCATAATGACAAGGTTGGCGGGGCTTGAGACGTCAGACAGATCGTGGTCATAGAGAGGATGGCGATGATGGGAAAGGTAGTCGTCAGGGTTGGGACCAGGGTTAGAGGGCGCATCTGAGATATCCACATTCCGGGGGTGCCAAGGGCCCAATCACAAAGGTCCCTGTCGGCAGTGGGCCTTCCCGCAGGTGTCAGTGAAGAGCCGCAGTGCGCCGGCGTCCATTCCTTCCTTGGCATCAACCGACTTCATCTCCAGAACGACCATCCTCCTGGGCCGTCGTGATCCTCCTGCTTGCGTAACTCGAGTTTTGGGAGTGCCCATGATTTGAAATTACGGGGGATTCCCCATTCACCCACCACCTGTCTTGGAGAACGTGGATGATCCATTCGACGTCGAGACAGTCAAGACAACCTCCACCGAAGCCGTTCGTCACCGTGGTCAACGACCGTCAACGTCAGAAGGCCTCGATCAGCACAATGCCATGCCTCATCTCCACCGCACATTGCAGACATGTCCATGAAGACGAGCATATCCACCGGCATGCGACAGCCTAAACCATCGCAGTGGCGCACAGTGCGCTGGATGCTTGCATTCTATGTTGCAGGGGAGCCAGCCACCTGGTCGTATCAAAACCCAACAATCAGCCTCTGGGTACTCAAGCCATTCGAGAAGTCTGTTTCCCCGCAAAGAGATTTGCCACATCCTCACTTCCGGACATCGAAGGTGACACTGGTTGGCAAGTCTGGATCATCTCGGGCCAGTTCCCAGCTGCCAAGGCTGCCTACCGGGTGTCTCGACTCGTTGGTGCCAGATAATATCCCGCTTTGAGCGAGCAGGAAGGTATCACGATCTCCAACGCTGCCTCAAACCCCTCCAACAGGCGCTCTGGTCATGACGGCTCGATCCGTATGGGTAGCAAGCTTTCCACAGCATCCGATACCAGCGAATCAGGCTGATCATCTGACCCCGACTTGCCGCCCAGACACCCCGCAGCCGCCGTCGTAACTTGACGGCTTTTCACCGAATCCCCGGCCCTTGCGGCTCTCGGTCTCGAGCTAAAGGTGCGGGAAGCAGAATCTGTCCGGGCAGTGTTGCCGACTGTACAAGCCCCTGCACTCACGACCCCTCATCCCAAACGCGGTCATCGGCAGCACGAACCAGACCAGCTGCCCTACCGCCCTCTTCAGCTGCAATGACCCCCACGCGTACACGAAAATGGCACTCAAGATCATCCGAGCCATCTCCCCGTTCCCGTTCCGAAACGGACGCATCCGTGCTAGCTCTAGTGAGCACTACACTCTGGCCACCGAGGAGGCATCCGCCTAGCCTTCCTTCCGGCATATCACCATCTGTCTTTTCAGATCCCCCGCAAAATGAACTGAACCCTCGTTGGATCGATGCAGGGTCGTTCCCTCTCATGCTCCATCGTTACTCCTGAGACAAAGGTTTGTCGGAAGACATCAGCGAAGCCGCAACGATGAGACCATGTGACTCTCCATCCGACACCAAGATCAGACAACCCGGGTGGAGATCAAGAGCCGCCGCTGAATTTCTAGGACTGTTTCCTCCGCGAGGTTTTCACTCCGCACCCGCCACATGTACCATGAATCATCTTGAAGCAAGCCCTCCGGACCGGCGGGGCCGTCCCAGTGATCCACTCCTGAACCTTGTGCGCTCCCATGCAATGCAGAATTTCATCGCCCCGCGGACGACCTTCCCTTTGCACCCATGGCGGGGTCCCTGCCCCTGCTGGGGAATCTAAACTCAGGGGAGGAGAATGATCAAGCCATCTGCGCAAGTAATTATTGACATCGACAACAAGGTTCCACGATTCAAGGCTCTAATCGGCTACGACAGCCTTCAGGTCGACCATGTGACTCCCGCAATGTGAGTGACCATGATGGCCAAGGCCATCACATGACCACACGCGCGAGACTGGGAAATAAAATTCAGTGGGGCCTCCAGCGAGTAGACATACAGTACCCTAGGTAAGGCCCCGGAATCATGAGAACATAAACCAGGTGAATTGATGATGGTTTCCCCATTGTGCCATCTTGATAGCTGTACGCTAACAGTGAACGCACTGAGCAGACTCCCAACGACAATCTTTGAGACCTTCTTACACGCTCAGAACCTCCCTCGACGCCCTGCATCACGTCTTCCTTGCCCATCTTGGTACGAATTTCTCCGGGTTTGGCTCGCTAAGAACAAGACTTTCCCTCTCCTTTTCCCTTCCCCTTTCCTGACCATAGTCTCTATTCCGCTCGTTTTACGCGAGACAATCCCTGTGTCCCCCTTCCTCACAAGGTTCATTGCATCCGCAAACCTATCCATGTTAGGCACGCTTGCACTGCACCGATCCGCAGCCACAGGACTCTTGGCCCGCGTACTGTGTTGCCCTACTGGCGGTGGCGGCAGTGTGACGAAACTTCGCTGCGCCGTGCTGACGCCTGATGCTTCGAAGTTTGCCCGCCCCCAAAACCGCCCCTGTTCTGAACCTGACCCCTGGGCGATAACAGGAGTCACTTCGTAACTCCTCGCCGCAGGCAGTGGTGACGAGACGTCATGATCCTCTAGACAGTCTAGCATCGCCTCATCTAGCAGCCGGCGCACCTTCTTATCATGTGTTGCAGGAAAAAGGTTTCTCGGCAGCGTATATGGGAGACACTCCTGTGCGCCATCAGGACCTATGACATGCAGGGGGGCAAGATCGGGCAGCAGAAGGGCAAAACGGCGAGACTCCTGGTCCGGATAGGCCAGAATGTTGATGGTCATCCATTTGACAAACCCCATCCTCGTCAGACCCGGGATGGTGGGGTGAGCCTGGGGAACTGCTTGGGAGAGGTAATAGGGGCAATCAAGATCCTGGTACATATATTGAGTGCGTTCAAACGTCGTGTTCTTGCACGGCTTGAAAGCATCTGCCCTAGTTAGAAGGCCGTCCAGCTCCAAGAAA